GAGGTTGCTGTGAGCTGTGATGCCACTGCACTCTACTGAGGGTGACATAGTAAGATGCTGTCTCAAAAAATTAATTAATTAAATATATATAGTTTAAATGGGCTGCTGGGGAGATTTGCACCTGTGGAATGCACCTGTGAGGGCGAAGAGGCATCTGAGTCAAAAGGCCCTGGAGTTTGGAGTCATGCATCCACATTTTTATTTATTTATTTATTTTTTTAAACAGCGTCTCAAGCCATAGCCCTCGGTAGAGTACCATGGTGTTACAACTCACAGCAACCTCAAACTCCTGGGTTTAAGTGATTCTCTTGCCTCAGCCTCCCAAGTAGCTGGGACTACAGGCATTCGCCACAATGCCCAGCTATTTTTGTTGTTGCAGTTGCCATTATTATTTTAGAAGGCCTGGGCTGGGTTCAAACCCGCCAGCCTCAGGGTCTGTGGCCGGTGCCCTACTGATTGAGTTATTTGCGCCACCTCACACATCCACATTCTAATGTGGTTTCAGTTGCTGTCTCTGGCCTTGGATGAACCATTTGGTTCTGTCTGACTAGTTTCTTCATTCAAATCAAGACTATGGGAGTAATGGTAGTTTGGGTGGATAGCAAATGCCTAGAGATCTACAAGCCAGCATCTTCCTGGTAGCAACTGCATGTAGAATTCAGCAGTCCTGATTTCACAGGAGCATCATAAATGTTCCCCCTAGGAGATCTCAAGAACCAGACAGAGAGATGAACTACCCTGCAATGAGATCATTTTCTTCATTCAGCTTTTGATACTCTTAAATGCCAAAACTTTAGCCCAGAGTGAGGATCCACCCTCTGGTGCCAGAGTTCACTTTCTTTTTGTAGTTTTCACGCTATAAACATGTCCTTTCTAAAAGTTGTACTCCTGGGCGGCACCTATGGCTCAGTGGGTAGGGCATCAGCCCCATATTCCGAGGGTGGCGGGTTCAAACCCAGCCCCAGCCAAAATACAACAAAAAAATAGCGGGCTATTGTGGCAAGCACCTGTAATCCCAGCTACTCAAGAGGCTGAGGCAAGAGAACTGCCCAGCAGTTGGAGGTTGCTGTCAGTTGGGTGACACCATGGCACTCTACTGAGAGTGATAAAGCGAGACTCTGTCTCTATAAAAAAAAAAGTTATACTCTTATATCATACAAAATTATATTCTGTTAAGACAAAAGAGATGGTTAATAACAAAAATATGCTCGCACTCGGCATAATACCAGTCGTCAGTAGATAATCCACTAAATGAATATACCTAAAAACATGTCAGCTCCAAGAAGGATTAATCCAAAATGCCAAATTGTAGAAAAGGATCTGTAAATAGCAGAGTACCCATAAAGCCACGGGTCTAAATATACTGTGTAACCACAATAGATGGGTTATTCCACTTTTTGGAACAACTATTCTAAGCCAGGTGCAAGAGGCTTAAGGAAACAGCAATCAGATCCCCAGCCAGCAATGACATGTACCGGCAGGAAAATCAACATGCGCTTTCCACAATTAACAGATTATATTACAGATGAGTCAAGACGTTCTTACCTGGTCTAAATATTGAGGGAGGAGCTTTGCCAAGATGGTGGCTGTATTTTCACTTAGTTCAGAAGGCTTGATAATCACAGCATTTCCTAAACAAAGTAAAAAGTAGAACAGTGTCATCTAATACTTGAGTAGATTTAACAGCTACCAAAATGGTGTTCACGTGGAAAGTCCAGGCTAGGTACTGCAATTATTTCTGCAGCTCTTAATTCTGCTCTTATGAGCTTTCTCACTTTCCTCAAATGCTAACTCACTAGTTGTCATTATTTTCAGGTCACTGGAAACAGGTTTCTGTCAGCTTTTCCCACTCAGTTTTCTGTCACTTTTCTCCCAGATCTGCCCTTAGATTTTCCCCTCTGTCCTGGAATTACTGGGCAAACAAGCCATGTCAACATAAGAGCTTTTGATCCGAATCCCACAAACTGAGAAAGTAATCTCTAGGCATTTGCTATATACCCAAGCAAGCATTATTCCCATAGCCTTGATTTGAATGAAGAATCTAGTCAGACAGAATCAAATGGTTCATCAAGGCCAGAGCCGACAACTGAAACCACATTAGAATGTGGATGCGTGACTCCAAACTCCAGGGCCTGTTGACTTGGATGCCTTTACACCCTCACAGGTGCATATCTCCCCAGCAGCCCATTTAAACTATATATATTTATGAATTCTCAACACACTGCTAGTGTAAACCAAGGCAAACCACAAAAGTAAATGTGTTTAATTAGCTACTATCCTTTATTTATAACCAATATGAGAGAATAATCCCTCTAAAAAGGTTACCTGCAGCGATGGCTCCTACCAGTGGGTGAATGGTGAGAACAAAGGGGTAGTTCCAAGCTCCAATAATTAGCACCACTCCTAGAGGCTCTGGTTGAACATAGGCCTCATCCAGCATGGTGAGCAGGTTTTTCTTAACTGATTTAGCAGTAATCCATTCAGGAAGATTCTCCAGCATAAAATCAATTTCCCCAAGAACAGTAATGACTTCCTGACTGTATGCGTTGAATTCACTCTGTTATAAGAGAATCACAGTTGACTACACAATGAGTATGATGCACTTGACCCTGAAAGTCAAAAATCTCAGGTCAGGGTGGCGCCCGTAGCTTAGCGGGTAGGGCGCCAGCCACATACACCTAGGCTGGCAGGTTCAAACCCAGTCCAGGCCAGCTAAAACAACAATGGCAACAAAAATAACAAAAAAAAATAGCTGGGTGTTATGGCCGGCACCTGTAGTCCCAGCTACTTGGGAGGCTGATGCAAAACAATCTAAAGCCCAAGAGTTTGAGGTTGCTGTGAGCTGTGATACCACCGCACTTCACCCAGGGCAACAGCTTGAGACTCTGTCTCAAAAAACAAACAAACAACAACAAAAAAACCCACCCCAAGTCAGGTGCACCTGCAGTGACAACTACTGGCATTATCAAAGTCACTGGTTTGCCATCTTTCCTTTTGCACTGTCCACACCCTCAATAAGGACTCGCTAATTCCCTCTCTAATACAGTAGATCTCTGTACGTTGACCACTCAATGTGGTCACTCAAGGGACTACAACAACTGATCAACATACATAGGTGGTCAGCATAAGGAACTAGGCCTACTGTGCTGATACATACATGTGGTACATATCTGGTCTGAGAAGATGAGGTCAACTTAAGGAGGAGGTCATTAAGGGAGGTCAATTATGGAGGTTCTACAGTATTCAGTGCCTGTAAATTCTCTGCTGATCTATACCTTATAAAAATCAGGCTTAAAGTTATCTCTTTCAGGAAGACTTTTGTGATTAATAATGGCCTGCCCTGATCACACTTTATATACCACAGCAATTATGCTTTTGACCCATATCTTAACACTTTATAATACTATACTCAAATTTTACCTGTGTATGTTCTGTTTTCCAACAGAAGTTAAAACCCTCAAGGGCCAGGAACTTATTGTTATTTCTTTAGAAATCCTAAATATACATATACTTACACACTGGATTCTTGCAGAACGAGTAAGTGATCTACAGATATTATGAATCTTAATTATTCTGCCTTGTTTATTTAATATCATAGCCCCTCTCCACCAAAAGTATTCTAAAATAATTTTTTTTGAGACAGTCTCACTAAGTCACCCTCAGTAGAGTGTAGTAGTGTCACAGCTCACAGCAACCTCAAACTCTTGGGCTTTAGCGATTCTCTTACCTCAGCCTCCCAGTAGCTGGTGCTACAGGCACCTGCCACAACGCCCAGATTTTTTTTTTGTTGTAACTGGCATTGTTGTTTGGCAGGCTCGGGCTGGGTTCGAACCAGCCAGCTCCAGTGCCCAAGAGAAATTTTATAGTTACTATTGGTACTGCTACTGCCCTTACTACTCCTTGAAATATCTTTTCTTGGGGGCATGGGAGGAAGGGAGCGATTCACAATAAATCCTTGCTACACCTGAAATGCAGACAAAACATAATAACAAGATGACAACAGTATTATTAAAAAACATAGAGGAATATATGTATACCCTAACACTTCTTAAAACCTTGCTACTCAAAGCACGTTTTCAAAAGACCTGAGACTTCGTTAGAAACTTGGAATCTTGGCTTGGCTCAGTGGCTCACGCCTGTAATCCTAGCACTCTGGGAGGGCAAGGCTGGTGGACCGCCTGAGCTCACCGGTTCCAGACCAGCCTGAGCAAGTGTGGCTAAGGTGGCAGGCACCTGTAGTCTCAGCTACTTGCGAGGCTGAGACAAGATTACTGAGCCGGAGAGTTTGAGGTTGCTGTGATCTATGATGCCATGGCACTCTACTCCATCTCAGACCCCACCTGCAAACCTACTGGAACCATAATTTACATTTGGATCACCAGTCACGGCACTAAACTTTGAGGAGCGCTGACCTCATAATGCACAGTCGTGAGGGAAAACAGGAAAGATATACTCACACAAACGACCCTGCCTACGAAAGAAAACATAAGCAAAGTTAAAAAGAAACGGACATAGAAAAAAGCCTGCAATGCTTCAGGCTGACAAGTCCGAAATATACGAGAATTACTAAAGATCGTGAGGAAACAGACCACAAATGCAAAAGTGGAAAAGAAAAATGGAGAATAATATAAACAGTAATTCGCAGAAAAGGAACCACACAGGTAGATAACAGGCACTTTCAGTGCGTCGGCAAGGTCCTGCCACGGGGGCTGGCTCTGCCAAGCGAGGCTGGGGGGCCGGGAACTCGGGGCACTCCTGCTTTACCGGTGCCGCCGGACTTTATCTGCACTCCTGCAGATCAGACTCCCACAGTGCTTACGTAACCAGAAATGTTTTTATTCTTTTTAAGCAAAGGCTCCGGTGGACTTCGCCTCCGGAGTGGAGAGGCGGGGCGCCGGCGAGAGTACCTTGCACAGGTCGGCGCCGATGGCCGCCAGGATGTCCTTCTCGCGTTCCAACACCATCCTCCGCAGGGCCTCCAGCTGCTGCAGCCGGAACCGCAGGGGTCGCGACCGGCCGGACCGGAACGCCTGGCGAACCCGCTGCACTTCGCGCTCCATGGCCTGGTCCTGCGGAGAAAGGAGAAGTCTAGGGGCTGCGGCGGCGCGGGGGCGTGGCGGGCGGGGTGTCTCAGGCGCCGGCGGTCTGCCACTGCGAACCTCCCTCCTTCCGAGCAAACCTCCAGCCTCACCTCGAGAGCCAGCCAGGAAGCCCGCTCCACTGCTACCCCGACGCCTGCCCAGTCCAAATGCCGGACCGCGCCGCCGCGGGGCTGGGCTCACCCGGGAGCCGCGCACCTATTGGCCCGCCCGGCCCACGTGACCGTCGCGGCCCGGATGCCTGCCCGGCCTCCGCCCACTCACTGGGCTCAGACGGCGGCTGGCGCGCGGGGAGTGGGGTTTGTGACTCCGCGCCGCCGCGCTCCTCCTGCACCGCGTCCGGGGGCCGGTGGTGCCGCTGGGAGGGGCCCGGGCGGCTCCGGAAGCGAGTAGGAGTCCGCGAGAAGCGGGCCGGGACGCTGAGGGCGAGCGGCTTCCTGCCCCGCGACCCCGCCGGCGCGCAGCCCACGCACGGGGCGCTCCGGGCGCCGGTTTCCCTTTCTCCTCCATTTCGTGACTCTTCAGATGCGGCCGAAGGGACGGAGTCGGGAGGCCTGGCGCCGCCGAATGCGCCGGCGACCCGGGCCGGGCCCCTGCGGGGCTGTGCAGGGCGGGCGCGGAGCCCGGCACAGCCTCCGCTCCCGCCGCCCCAGCCGCTGACTTGGGGATAGGCGGCACCTCTGGGGCGGGACGCCAGGACGCCGGACAGCGATTATTTCCAGTAGTACACAAACGTTACCACAGCCCGGTCCTTCCTCCCCTGGATAGTTGCCGTCCCATATCTCCTCTCCCGGTTGGAGCGACCTCCTGCGTGCTCCGCGCGGGTTTCCTGCTCGCTGCCCGTGGCAGGTGCGCCGGCCGATCGCGGCTCTCGGTTGCCTCTACTTAGCAATGTTGATACAGCCCATCGTTCCCATCTTCTAGAGACGCTTTCCTTTCTTTTCCAGTTCCCTGCAGTCTTCTGGCTTTCCTTTGATCTCGCTGGCCAAGTCCTCTGGGTTTTCCTTTGCTGGATCGTTCTCCCTTTCTGACCTCTAGAAGTGGTGAGGTCTCCTCGGTCACTCCTTCATCTGAGCCTGGGCATGGTGGGGAGAGAAGACTCCATTCCCAGCCTTGCCTCTGAACTCCAGAGTGTGTCTAATTACATCTGATTCATCTCGATTTAAATAGGTAATTCTTAAACTGAACCGCAAGGAAAACTTTTGATTTATCCTCCACTAGGTAAACACAATGCCTGTCTTCTCCGGTGTTCCTTGCTTTGAAAACTGTGACCATCCTGTATCCCATTTTCTCAAGCCAGAGTCCTTGACGATTCTGTATTTTCGAATACATACTGAATCCAACCACTTCCACCCTGGTTCAGACCATATTTTCCTTTGAACTATATACTAAGCTCGGCAATAGCAGTGGTCTCCCTGCCTGCTTCTGTTCTTGACTCTGTGGGGGTTATTGATCTGTTATTTCTCAAGTTCTACACTTGCCTTTTTATACTCCACTGCCCAGGCTCAGACTGTGTAAGCTACGTTTTTCCAGGCTCTCGTGTCATCTGGCTTCCTCTGAAATTCTGCTTGTAGGAGAAATTAGAAGGAAAGAGGATTCTGGATTCAGTAGTGTGGCAGTTGCTGGACATTTCTACAGTGGAAGTGAAGAAGAGATTATTCTAACTCCAAAAGTTCCTTCTTTGGTCAAAAGGGCACCTCTCTCTAGTAGATAGAGGATGATAGTCACAGCATCTCCAAATGGCACAGGAACTGGTGCAATCCCATGGGTATTTTTAGCCGCTTCTGATCTATGATATCATTCTGTTCTTCCTTTTAACATTATTTTCTTTTTCTTTCTTTCTTTTTTTTTTGTGAGAGAGTGTCTCAGTGTCACTCTGGGTAGAGTGCTGTGGCATCATAGCTCACAGCAACTTCAAACTCCAGAACTTGAACAATCCTTTTGCCTCAGTCTCCCAAGTAGCTGGGACTGCAGGTGTGCTCCACCACACTCGGATAAGGTCTCCTTGCTCAGGTTGATCTTGAACTCCTGAGCTCAAGCAATCCACCCATCTTGGAATCCCAGAGTGCTGGGATTACAGGCGTGAGCCACCATGCTTGGCCTAATATCTGTTCTTAAGATTTGCTGTGTGTAATATATCAATAACTTGAGTGGTTTCTCTTCCATGACTGGACTCCGACTCATACCCTTTCCTATCACCTGTTTTCCACCTAGCTGTTGATGTTAGAAGGTGCCCTGACCATGTTAGATTTCTGCTCAAAACTTTCCAATGGCCTCCTCTCACATTTAGAATAAAATCCGAAGCCTGTGCCATATTCTACAAGCTATGTATACCCTGGCCCCTGAGATTGTCTTCTGTCTCTCTCGTAGGATTCTGCCACTTAGTGAGTTCTAACCAGAGTGGCTTCCTTACCTTCAATGGACATTCTAAGCACAATCCTGCCCAGGGCTTCTGCACACTATTTATTTTGCCCAGGGTGCTCAGCTATCTTTCTTACTTAATTCAATTTCTGCTTCAATGTTACCTCTTGAAAGAAGGCTTCCCTGAACACCCCATCTAAGATCAGTCTCTGCAACTCTCTGGCCTTTACCCTGTTTTTTTTGTTTTGTTTTTCTGAGACAGGCTCTTGCTCTGTTGCCTTGACTGGAGTGCAGTGACATCATCAAAGCTCCTTGCAACTTGGAACTCCTAGGCTCAAGCAATCTTCCTGCCTCAACCTCCAGGGTAGCCATAGTTACAGGTAGACACCACCAGAGTGGCTCATTGTTCTAGTTTATTGTAGAGACAAGGTCTTACTCTTGCTCAGGAGGGTCTTGAATTCCTGATCTCAAGCCATTCTCCTGACTCAGCCTCCCTGAGAACTAGGATTATAGGCATGAGCCACTCCACCTGGCCCTATTTTTCTGAATAGTATAAATGTATCTGTTTATTTTACTTTATTGTTTTCTTCCCCACTGGAAAATGTCTTGTAAATTCAGAGACTTTGTCTTTCACGTCCATTATAATGTAAGTACCTGGTATAGAACCTGGACCATAGTAAGTACTCAAAAAATATTTATTGACTGATTGAATTGTATATTCTCATGTACTCTAGTCTCACTGCCTTGGCACTGTCTACTTCTGTGGCTTTCTCAACAACCTATTATTAAAGATTTATTTAAGGAGATTCATGGTGAAGCAGAGAAATTAGCAAGACCATCAAATTCTTCACTTCTACTTCTCCTTTGTCTGCTTTTGGCAAAAAGAAAACAAAAACCCAGTCCATGTGGGACACCATAATTAAAGTTGGGAGATTGCAGGTGAGAGGGTGAACAGGCTTCTTATGTTACAAAGAAAAGCAGTAGCCTCCAGTACATACCAAATCTTTAAGTCAGTTCCTTAAGTAACTGAAGATTGCTTATGCACGGCAAGCCAATCTTCTAGAACTTTAGCAATGATTAAATTAGCTCAGAGGTCACCTCAGCCTATACCTAATCATCTATCTATCTAATCTACTCTGAGCTAATCAATATTATGTAAGGAACTAGGTAAAGTGAGATGTGAACCATGCTACAATTTTTTAAAATGTAAATAATGAACAGAATCTCTGTGTGAAATTAGAACAGAAATCCCTATCGAAGGCAAATTAATCTATGAATAGCAGTGAGTTACTTCTACTGAAGACGTAAGGATACTTTTTAAAAGAATGTATTGTGATTCTAATGGCATAATAACCAAGAATTTGACTCTACCAACTCTGGAACATTTTCTTCATTTGTTGGAGAAATCAACTGATGGCATTTTGTGGAGCGTATTTGAAAACCACATCCAAATGCTTTAACAGAGAACAAAGTGATATATTTATGGAACCAAAGGGAGGGCTGGGAATTCTTTCACTGACCTCCCAGGCTGAGACGTTTTTCAGTCCTCTTAAGCTTTCTTTCAGGAAAGAGTGATTTTAGTATGCTTGCCCAATATACTTTTATAACTTCCTTTTTTATTTTTATTATTTTTTTATTGAGACAGAGTCTCACTTTATCACCTTCATTAGAGTCCTGTGGCGTCACAGCTCACAGCAACCTCAAACTCTTGGGCTCAATTGATTCTCTGGCTTTAGCATCCCTAGTAGCTGGGACTACAGACGCCTGCCACAACACCAGCTATTTGTTTTGTTTTTTTGGTCTAGCAGGCCCCGGTCGGGTTCCAACCCACCAGTCCTAGAGTATGTACCCAGCCATTGAGCTATAGGCACCCCCTCTAACCTCCTTTCTTCAATTTACGGTTTTGTTTAATTGAGGGTGATCTACTCTGTGACTTCTCCCTGTCACAACCTCAGGGTTTCCAAATGATTCAGGCTTGCTGAGTTAGGAAATCAAATCTTCTTTTTATTTTTTTCCAACATTCAAATTATTGTTTATTTTTTAAGCTCCACAATATACCGAGTTGATCTTACAGAAAATAAAAACAAATACATTTGCAAACTGTGTAAAAGTTCAAAGTACCTACTGGAACAAAAATATAAACAAGAGTCTCTCCCAAAACAACATGACAATATTATTTTATATCTGAAATGTAAATATTTCCTAATTTATAAAGTGAAATTGTATTCATGAGTCATAACATGACCCACCACGTTTTCTTGCTATGTTGTTACACTAAACAGAAACATTTCTAGCTCTGGTTTGGGACACCAGTGATTTCTACAGACATTTTTTGTGTTCATGGCTTCATTTGCCCTGCCCGGGATGGCAATGGAGTCAATGTCTGGCTTCCTTGAAGGACAGACTCCCAGCTAGCTTTGATCATCGCCAGCTGCGTTTGAAGGAACAAAAAATGGCCACAGTGGAACGTTAGTGAATGTGAAGCTATGAGACCCATCGCTGACTAGGTAGAAGGAGATGGTACCCGTGTCCATATCCAGGAAAATCCCCACCCAGTGGAGCCAGGGATTCACCAACACAGTGGTCAAAGGTGAGGTGCAGGCAGTGAAAATCAGCGATCTCACACTCCCAGCCCAGAAGCCCCGTTCTGCAGACAGTGTGCTCTCCCCTTCCTGATAACTGATGCCTTGTAGATCCCTACATCCCATTCTTTGCTCCTGCCCACGTCCACTTCCCAGTAGTGACAGCCAGAAGTGAGATGAGGGGACCCCAGGACACGCAAGGCACT